AAATTTATTAATAATTTAATTTTAATAAGTAATGTCCTTTATAGTAATTTACACAACTAAAATTGATTATGAATCAATTATCTAAATATCTTTAATTTTGTTAAAATTAATTTTAAAAAAATAATATCCAAACAAATAGTATTATAACATAATCAATTATGATTAAAATCAATCATTTAATTAATTATTTTCATAATCAATTATATCCAACTGAAATCCAAACGAACTCTTATACATTGGAGAAGTTGTGGTGATGTTAGAATCTAAGAGTTGGAGGAGTAGGGGTTAGTGTTCGTATTCACAAAGGTAGTCAAGAGAGAGCTTAAACTCATCAGGGAAGAGATTGAATCTAGGTTTTAGAGTTGAAAAAAATTGAGTTTTAATTAAAAAAATTTGACTTTTATTTAAAAAAAAAACAAAAGATGTGGATGCTATGTGGCAATGATCAATACTTTCCTTTCATTAGGTCAAGGCAATATTGCACCAATTTAAAAAATATTAGAATAAAATTATATCAAAAAAATACTTTAAAATATGAAGTGTGCCTGGGTAAAAATATTAAAGACAGATTTGTCTTTTAATCCTTGAAGTGATGCAACTCAAGTGGCTCTCCTTTTCACTTATTGTGAGCACCAGGACAACAATCATAGTATGAGACACATATGTACAGCATTATTCATAGGTTACTTATGAATAACCTTTCTGTAAAATAGTAAAAGCCACAATAATTAGAGACCTAAAAATAATATTGAAAATTTATATTAAAAAAATGGTCCTTTGGAGATTGTAGGGCACCGTGTACAGCTACAAACGCAAACGTCCCTCTCATGTACAGACACAAACACTCATTGAAGGAGAAGCAGAGTGTGGCTTTTCCAAAAATGTGTGTGTGTGTGTGTGTGTGTGTGTGTTATCGATTTAAAATTAAAGTGTGGGACTCTTTCGGGTGAAATAGAGGTCCCATGGCATTAGCAAAAAATCTGATGCGAGGAAAAACGAGGGAATGACAGTAAAACTATAAAATATTAAATTAATAATAATTAAATTTTAACAAAATTTAGAAAAATAAATTATAAATATTAATTCATATAATTGTAAATAAAAATTTCAATCATAAATAAAAAGTTACATTTAAATTTTAAATATCTCATTTATAAGTAAAACTATTAAATTTAAAATTACTAAATTAATATTTAATTTTTTAAAAAATATAATTATCATTGAGCCCCTTAGCTTTCATCCTGTCAAGGAAAAAAAATGGAAAATAGAACTAAGAGCCTTAAAAAAGACATATTATTGTACTTTGAGTCTGGAAAATTTTGCTATTGCACTGCAGGCTCAAGGGTCCTTGTTGCAATTTTTCTTAAGGCTAAAAGTATGATTTTGTCTTTATGATTTGAAAACACAACCTGTGCGATAATATACAACATAATATCCACTATGCATAACACAATGTTCATATATTTTCAATTAAAAGTTCAAATGTGTCCAGTTTATCAGTAGACTTAATATAATGTACAAGTTACGTAAATAATGTGCAATACAATATCCACTATACATAACACAATGTTTATATATTCTCAATTGAAAGTCCATACGTATTCAGTTTATCAATGGGCTAGACTTAATAAAATGTACAGGTTAGGCAAACAATATATAACACAATATCCACCATACACAATACAATATTCATATATTCTCAACTGAAAGTCTACATGTGTCCAGTTTATTAGTAAGCTAGGCTTAACAAAATGTAAGATAGGCAGACAATGTACAACATAATATTCATTATTCACAACACAATGTTCATATATTCTCAACTGAAAGTCCATGTGTGTCTAGTTGATTTGTAAGCTAAGCTTAACAAAATATATAAGTTAGAAAGACAATGTACAACATGATATTTACTATTCACAACACAATATTCATATATTCCCAATTGAAAATTCATGTGTGTCTAGTTTATTGGTTAGCTAGGTTTAACAAAAAGTTTTTTAGGTTTGTGAATAACAAAAAGTCTATATATAACATAATGAGGTCCATTTATTAACAACACAATATCCATTTGTTTCACATAGTTTGTGCTATTGAGCTGAATATTTAAAAAAGTTTCTCAAGTTTATAAACAATAAAAAGTTCATATATAACATGAAGTATACATTTGTTAACAATATAATATCCATATATGTCACATGATTCATGTTGTTAAATTGAACATTTAAAAAAATTTCTTAAGTTTATAAACAACAAAAAGTTTATATATAACTGACAAGGTCCATTTATTAACGATAAATTGTCTGGACATTTTATATGGTCTGTCTAATTAAGTTGAAGATTTTCAAATAACATGACAAGTTTCACATATTAACAACACAAAGTCCTTTTATATGGCACACATGACAATATGTTTTCATTGAATTTTTAGAACAAATATATTATATCTGATTACTTTACAATTGAATATCCAATATTAACAAGATAGTGTTCATGTTTTCATAACACATAATCCAATCTTTTCATTATTAGAAGATTAGAAGTTAAAGTTTTAAAATGCTACTATACAGTAAGATGCAAAAGCTATCCTCCTTATAATCTAATTCATCGAAAGATATAATTAACTAATTCATAACAAAACATCCATAAATAACATCAAAAGGTCCATATATTCATAACACAAGGTCTGTTTATATGATACATACAAACATTTGTTGATTTGCATAAGTTAATTGTAAAGTTTGCACAACATAAACTTTGTAAACGACGACATAAATTTCATAAATAGCATCTACACCCAAACATGTATATCGACTAAAGAAAAATCTATATCAAAAACAATAAAAAGTTTATAAATAATAACTTGTTTTCATTAAATCAACAACTATGTCCTACTTGAAAATTGCAAGATAAAATTTATAAGTAACTCATTTGAAATTTACAACAAGAAGTCCTAAAAACAACAATTAAAATTCATTTATTAACAATAGAATGTCTATTTAGATATACGGTCCTTGGTCAATGAAATATTTTACAACAAAATAAAAGGAAGGAAAAGAAGCGTGGTTTATGAAGTATAAGAAAATGACAATATGATGTTCTTCAGAGAATCTAGTGTGATGGTGCTGTAAAAGTATGATTACAATCAAATGTATTATATTAGTGGGAATTCTACTAATGTAGAATAAGACATGATCAACTCTCATGTGATAGCTCGTAGTGATGGTGAGTTTGCCATCAGCTACCCACAGTATTAGCTACCTATGATTCATGACTGTATAATTGAAAGCATGCAAGACATCATATTTTCCCTTCCATTCAATGCCATAAGTACTATCTGGGAAATCATTTAGAAAACAATAGGAAATTGGCATGGAAGAGAAAGGGAAAGAAGGAAGTCTGAGGAAGAAAAAGATAGGGAAGAAAGTATGAAGTTGAGGAGTGACTTGAATGTGAGAGGTAATTGAGTCATTACAACATTAAACATAATTACAAATAAAGCCCCTGAGTCTTTAAAGATACTCCCTCCATCCCTATATATAAAATATTTTTAATTAAATCATGCAAATTAATAAAAATTAATTATCTGATTAAAAGTATAGCAATATTTTAATTTTATCTCTAATTACTGTAAATAAAAATAAATCTTTTTTTTTTTAAAATAAATTAATGAGAATATTTATATTTTTTTAATTTAATAAAAATATAATAATTTAATTATTAAAAAAATATACTAACAGCCTTTTATACTGAGACATCAAAAAAATTTTAAAAAATCTCTTTTATATATAAAAAGACGGAGGGAATATATTAAATTCATTAAAGTCTTATCTGTAATTACGTTCACTGGGCCCTTACTGCGATTCTCCACCAAAAAGAGCGCTGTCCGCTGAAGGAGAGGAACAAAACGGTGACGTGTTGAGAGGGGCATGTACTTGGCAAGGGAAGCGATGGAGGCCAGGCTAGCATCTTGGCGATGATTGGGGGCGGGTCCCATCGTCCCCATCCTTTTCTGTCAAACCACATGGCCCCCATCCAATCCCTTCTGTTTCACCCACCCCCTTCCCTCCCCCCCTCCCTCACCAGTCACTCCTCACCCCATCCTCTTACACGTGTCCCAACGCCCCTATCTCACCAGGCAACTTATCATCTTTTTTTTTTTTTTTCTTGAGCTTATCAACTTTATTCACACTCTTGACTCTACCAACACCAGCATGGCAACATCAAACACACAACGCTCTTCTACTTTTGGCGTCCATGCCACTGATAAGCGTTGCGTTATGCTGCTCCCAATGATGTTTTTTTTTTTTTTGCCCTTTTATTGTTAAAAAGCCATAAGTACAGCCCTGATTTGAATTCATAATTTTTAAATAAAAATTTTATATTATATTTTTTACCAATGACAACTAAAAAATTATCTTTTGTTTTGAATTGTATATAAAATATTATGAAAAACATAAAAATCAAATATGAGTTGACATTTCTAGGTAGGGTAGGTGGGTCGTGTCAACTTTAAAACATGATTCCAACTATTTAATCATGTTACATTATCATAAATTTTACAATAAAAAAATTATTTACCTAACAATGAGAATTATTAAATCACTGTCTAGGTAACAAGCTCTGCCTTTTAACATACAAAGCATGATCAAGTCTTTATAAATAAGATAATTTCTTCACCTAAGAAATTAAATATATATATTTTTTACTTGAATCAATTGAACCAAGCACTTCTGACTAAAAAAAAAATTAAGGTATGGTTTAATGGTAGTATTTAAGAAGAGAGAAAAGTGGAGAGAATGAGAGAGAGAGAGCAGTACTCATGGCTTGGGTCCTGCGGTGCAGCCATGAGGGCCGTTCGAAAACATTGTTGTCGGCGAGAGACGTTACGACCCAATAATCACATTCGTTTGCACACTGTTATTACCAATTAGTGTCATTTAATAATATTGTATCCCTCGCTTCGCTTCCCCATTATTCTCCTTCGCCCAGCTTGGCTTCCTTCCATTCCACCTTTCTCTTTCTGTTTCTTTCCCCCGACCTTTTTATTTTATTACAATAAAAGCCTGTCCATTTTTATCCCATGCCTTCCTGCGGTTTCCATTTCCTAATCTTACCCCCCCATTGGTCATTACTCGTGTTTTTTGTATTGTCATGTTTCTCATTAATGGTTTTATTCTATTCCCTCTAGCTCATTGCTTAAATACCTGCCTTTTCTTTTCTGGGTGCTTCTTCTACCTCTCTCCCTCCTCTGCCTCTGCTGGCCTTTGCGACTGTTCTTGTTTTGTCTTCGTTCTTCGCCACCATTGTCAGAGACTTTGACCACCATCATGATAGTAAGTTCGTTTCTCTTGGTTCGTTTTTTATTTTCTACCGGGCATTTCGCAGTGAGGTCTCTTTGTTTTTTTCCGGGGGAGTCTCTTAGAGTTTCGGTCTTTGATTGAATGTACGGTTCTGGAGTCCCAGTACGCGTTTGTTCCATTGCTCTGGGTTCTCTTTCACGTTTGCCAGATAATGGAAGTTCAATTTTAAGCCTCTTACTTGCTCTTGATGAAAGGTTTCAATCAGATTCTATGATCTATACACTCTCTTTGACTGGATATAATTTGTTCGAAGTTCCATTTCCACTGTCTTCGATTCATTTCATATGTTATATTCAAATTCAATGTTGTTGATAGACGTGAGCTTTGATTCTTTCTTGGCTTATCGTTTTGATCCAACAAGTCTGGGTTTTTTCTTCTTTGCCTCTTTCCATTCATCGGAAAAATCCAAATAGGGCTGATCCTTAACAGAATTGCCTTGAAGCTATTTGAAACATGGGCTCAAAGAAGATTTTCTTTACCTCTGTCTTCGTTGGCTCTCCTTCATTCTCATCTCAAACTGGGATATTCATATAATGTTCCAATGGTTATATTTATTGCAGCTGTGGGACATCTTCTGGGAATCAATGAATTTGCCCATTTAATTTCACTTTGTGCCTTTTTTCCAGGTGGCGTTGCTCTTGCTGCTGGCATTGAGCAATGCCGTCAGAATCAATGGCGATGATGGCGGTGATGGGCAATGCGATTTTAAGCCAGCGCTAGATCCAAGACCGCACAGTGTCTCCATTTCGGAGTTTGGTGCGGTTGGGGATGGAAAAACACTCAACACAATCGCTTTTCAGAACGCCGTTTTCTACCTTAAGTCATTCGCTGACAAGGGTGGCGCTCAGTTGTACGTTCCACCTGGAAAATGGCTCACTGGAAGCTTCAATCTTACAAGCCATCTTACTCTCTTTCTGGAGAAAGGTGCTGTTCTTATTGCATCTCAGGTACTACTTGTTGCCTCCATTATCTTGGTTTTGAGAGCCATAACTTTTATGCTGTCCGTTAAATATGCAGGTAGTTCACATTCTTATTCTGGGGCCTACTCAGTGGCCATATAAAGCAGCATTACTTTGGGGAAAAAAATAATAATAATGTGTATGCGATTAATTCGTGGCAAGCAAAAAAATATTTTAAATTTCTGTGTCTCTCGAATCAATATCTCTTTTTTCCTGTATCAGGAATGGTTTTTCTATTATAATCCTACTTTGGGTAAGTTACACAATAAAATACGTAATTCTAAGAGTTGTTTTTTGCTTGGTACAATGCTGTTTTGGAATTAGAACAAATCTTAAGTTTTTTAAGGGTTCGTGGTTGGATTTTTCAGAACATATGGAAATTTTTTTGTAAAGGTCAGTGATGTAGTGACAAAGTTAACAGGAATAGCCAGCAAACATTTCAAAAACGATTTGTTTATTTATTTATTTATTTTTTGTCTATTGAATTAGCAGTGCTTCATCGATTAAAAATTAGAATTTAGTTTTCACCTGGCATTCTTCTTGCTTTGTATAGGATCCACATCATTGGGAAGTTATTGAACCCTTGCCTTCTTATGGGCGGGGGATTGAAGTTCCTGGAGGAAGGTACCAGAGCTTGATCAATGGGCACGGCTTACAAGATGTGGTTATAACAGGTTTTTTCTGCTTCAAACTTTATAATATGCTTGACTGTTGGGAGAAGAAGGCAAAGGGAAGAGAAGTAATCGGGAGAAAATGATATGGGGGAAAAATAAAGGAAAAGAGATGGTTAATTTAAAATTTCTGTTCCAAAATCCTCTAAATTGGGGAATATAACAATATACTGGAATGGCTTATGAAGGATTTTGGAAGATTAGTTAAAAATCTTTCCTTCTTTAATTTGTCTCTTTTAGCAACTCTTCCTGCAACCTTCTGATTTGCCATTCGTCTGATTCTGCCATGAACTTTCTAATCGTCAACAGGTAATAATGGAATCATTGATGGCATGGGATTGGTTTGGTGGGAGTGGTTCAGCTCTCATTCCTTGAACTACAGTCGCCCTCATCTGGTTGAACTTGTGGCATCTGATTCTGTGGTAGTTTCAAATCTTACATTCTTGAATGCCCCTGCATATAGCATCCACCCTGTTTATTGCAGGTATATTCTGTGCTTCTTTGAACGTTTAGGTAATTACTTGCTTTTGGTAGGATAAGTATATAACTGATTTGGTTTGGTGGATGTAATGCAGCAACGTATATATCCAAAATATCTCAATCTCTGCTCCTCCAGAATCCCCTTGTACTGTTGGTATAGTACCAGGTTTGTAATAAACTCATTCGCTTTAGTTTTCTTCCAGTCTTTGAGGTGCCATTTTGTTTTCAATTCTCGCTATTTTACTATATCCCAAAGCGCGGATACCAATATATCAATATGGACAAATATAGGACATAACATAAACACAGACATGCATCAAAATAAAAAAAAGATCATACACAAAATGAAAAGATGTTAGCCTATGTATTTCAAATTGTTCACGTATGATGAAAATATCATGAAAGAACATTTTTCTCTCTGATCAAGATAGGATTTCTAGTCTTTCTTTTATCACCCCCACCTTGTCTGATCAAGATAGGATTTCTAGTCTTTCTTTTATCTCCTCCTCCTCCTCCTTCCTGGGTGTGTCATGTTCGGCAAGTATTTGCACTTGGGAAAAAAAAGTGTTGACATGCACTTATGCAAGTCAGACATGTGTCTTCAGTTGTGGTGGCGTTCAGCCCTCTTTTTCTTGGCTATACTACCCAAAACTTGTTAATAACCCATTCATTAGCTTTAGTTTTTGTCCAGTCTATGAGGGGATAGGGGTCTCTTCATTTTTTTTACCGTCCTTTTTCTTTCACTTCTTAATTATGACCATTCATCAAGCCCATGACTAAAACAAATTCATTTACAACAGTGATATCAAGAAGCTGAGGGAAAATGATGATAGAAAAAAGGAGAGACTCCTCTCACGTCTATGAGATGCCATTTTCTTTCAATTCTCACTCTCTTACTATTTTGTGCTCCAAAGAACAGATGCCAATATATCAATATAGATAAATATAGGACACAGCGTAAACACAAACATGCATCAAAATTCAAAAAAGAACTTCCATTGTCTGATCAACATAGGATTTCTATTCTTTCTTTTTATCTCCTCTTCCTCCTGCTTCTTCTTGGTTGTGTCATGTTCAGCAAGCATGTGCACTATGAAAAAAAAAAAAATGTTTTGACAAGTAGATATGCAAGTCAGAAATGTGTCTTCAGTTGTCATGGCAGATTTGGTGTTTGGCTCTCGTTTTCTTGTCTTGACAGAACTGAAAATAGAAGTGTTCACTCTGTGTAGACTAGAGCATAGAGAGAATCAAATAGTTAAGCTAACAATTGGCCACTTGATGTTTTCAGATTCTTCAGAAAATGTTTGTATAGAGGATTGTACCATTACAGTGGGTTATGATGCAATTGCGCTCAAAAGTGGGTGGGATGAGTATGGCATTGCTTATGGCAGGCCCACAAAAAATGTTCACATCAGAAGGATGCATCTTAGAGCATCTTCTGGCTCCACTCTTGCTTTTGGCAGTGACATGTCTGGTGGCATATCAAATGTTCTTGTGGAATATGTTCATCTTCACAACTCCAATAGTGGCATTGAGTTCAGAACCACCCGAGGTCGAGGTGGTTACATCAAAGAAATTGCCATTTCAGGTGTAGAAATGGAGAATGTCAATACAGCTTTTGCTGCCACAGGCTTTTGTGGGTCTCACCCGGATGACAAGTTTGATCCTGATGCTCTTCCATTTTTAAATCACATTACTTTGCAGAATGTGATTGGTAGAAACATCACAATTGCTGGAAGCTTCTTTGGAATTCTAGAATCACCTTTCAGTAACATATGTCTTTTCAACATAACCTTGTCCATAAATCCTGTTTCTTCCAGCTCGTGGGATTGCTCAAATGTCTCTGGCTTTTCTCACTCTGTTCTCCCAAAGCCCTGCCCTGATCTTCTGAACCCAACAAATTCCTCCTCTTCTTCCTGCTTTTCCCTGCTGAGTATCAATGGACAAAGAGCGGTTCTCTGATTTTTTTTTTTTCCAGCCAAACCCATTATATTTTTTTTTTTTGCTTCGTAAGTCAGGAAGTTTTACTTCTATCCCTTGATTTATGAGATCCAATTTCATATTGAAGAGACCCAACTATGTGAGGATCACTAATTCTAATCCTCACAAAATTTGGTATAATGAAGAGATTGGAACCATCAAAATCAAGGGATAAAAATGAAATTTCTTGTCAAGTTGATGGACCGAAAAATCTACTGCAGCCTTTTTGTTTTTTGTTTCCTTCCTTCTCATCAAAAGATTCATATGCTCGAGCGCTCTTGCTTGAGCCTGTTGGGGGATAAGGAAAAGAGAGAAAAGAAAAAAGAATTAACCATTTGCCATCTCAGATAAGGCCACATTCTTCCTTCCAATAAGACAGTTGTCGGGATTATTCTTTTTGTCTTCCCCTTGCTTTCATCCTTAGAATTGCATTCTTGCATATTGCAAACCAGCATATTATTTGTACAGCTTCATATCTTCATTCATCAGTGATGAAATTTTGGTAGTGCATTCAGAATTCCATAGTTTTTTGGCATTAGTTCATTGCGATTTTAATGTAAAGCATGTAATGGATTTGGGCGATACTTTAATTAAATGAGGTTCAATGAAGCTTAGTTTTTTATTCATTCTACTTGTTAGTAGCTTGTGAAGCGTGTACTGGCCAAATGTCAATGTTCCTTTACCATCTTAATTGTTAATTCTTTGTCCCTGAGAGTTCATTCTCTTGCAACATCTTAAGTTGAGAAGATTTAGCCTGGATAAATCACAAAAATACTCCTAACTTCAATAATGAAAAACATCTGGTGTCTCATTGGGACTCTGATTCTCTGCTATGCGCAGTAGAGAGATCCCATGCATGTCAGTGGTAGAAAGTAACAAAGGAGATGCTCCCCGAGAAAGGCACGATTGGTTATTGTTTTGCTATGACAGTAAAAGAAATTGAAGTTATATTGCATTTCAGTTTAGTTTTAAATTTATTCATAAAATATCTTTAATTAATGCGAATGTATATTTTTAATTAAAATAAGCTCTCTGCATTTTTTAGAGTAACAATTTTAACAAAGGAAATACAAGTCAAATTAAAGTATATATTATAAAAATATATATTTTCATTAAAATTCAAATTTATATTAAAAACGTGTTCTTTTAAGTAGAGTTGGGAATAGAAGCCGGATCTGGAGGACTGAGCTTGGAGGCCCTGTTTAATAAGGGTTCGAGATTTGAAAATAATTTTTTTAAAATAGTCAAGCTTGAGGGCTTGGCCTTGATAAGTTTTGTAAAAAAGAATTCGGGCTCGAGTAGTCTTTTAAGTCCTGTTATATTATTATTATTATTATTATCTTTGATGGAACACATATTTGAAACCAATGACCTACTCACCTGATTTTACATGCATTATATTATTATTAATTTTAATTTATTTTAAAATTCATTTAATATAATTTAATAAATATTAGTTTATAGCATAAAAATCTTGATATTTTTTTATTTTTCTATAATTATTATGTTTGTGTATTTATAAAAAATGAACTATTTTTTAATCAAAATTTAAATTTTATTACTAGACTTTTAAATATGTGTTGTTTACTTTCTAAAAAATTATGAAAATTTTAATTTTAGAATATTTTAATTAATTCATAATGTTTAATTTTATTTTGAACCTCATTTATCAAGCCTGACCTTAAGCTTTTCACATAAGGGCCGGGCTTGATAAATGGGGTTCAAAATAAAAAATCGGGCTTCAGGGCTCAGGTCTTTCAAGGCCAGGCCCACACGTATTCCCAACTTTACTTTTAAGTAGTTAAAATATTGAAAGTATATATTAATTATGCAAGATCTCTAAAATTAATAAATACCTTCCAAACTTTTCAGCAAAGATGATCAAAGCATAGTTGAGTTAAATACCTAAATGGAGAGGGAGTTTTATGTTGCTTAAATAATTAAAATATACTTGTTGATCAAATGTTATCTTCCACTGTGCAAGCATCATATAAACTTTCTGCTTTAGAATAAACTCAGCAGAGATTACAAATCTCGTGCATGTTGGAAAAGGACGTCACTGAAAATAATTAAAAAAAAAATCCTCATCTGATTCTACTTCAGGCTGTTCTGATTTCTGATATAACTATGTTCAATTAAGGACGGCGTGGACCGGGACTGCAATGTTGTAAAATACAAGACCTTCGTATCTTCTGTCACACGAAATACCATGTGAGCTTTTGTACGTTTAAGGAAGGAATCTGGAACTTTTTCTTCTGATATCCAGAAGCAAAGAATCTAATTCCTGCGCCTTGAATCTCACGCGCATACCCAAATAATTCTATTTTCCACTCCCAAGCTATACAATTTTACTAATTATTGCCATCATCTCATACATCAACTTATCTGGCAGAAATAGTCTTCTTGACTTCTGGTAACCATCTCTTGGCGATCTAGACTATTGTACATGAATTGGGATTTTCATCACTGAACAATGACGTGAAATTTTCATTGTCATTATAGTATTCTCCACTGTAAAGTTCCATACGGCTATAATGTGTGTGCTTGTATGATCTGACATATTCATATTCGGTGACATGAGGGGATGGCTGGCACGTGTTATAGCAGTGTGTCACATATAATGGTGTGGGTGGCTCTTTTAGAAATACTTCCCTGTGATATCTGTCCCGTTGTTCAATATAATCATGACCAGAAGCGTATCTGGATCGATAGTTAGGTGGATGCTTGTATATCTCATGAGTCTCTCCCTCATCTTCTGTTTCTGGGCAACTCTCTGATTGCTGACTTGAGCTATCATCTAGTTTGGGCAATGCCGTCGCCTCAGGAGGCTGTTCAAGCGGTGGAGGATCTTTGCAGTTTTCTTCTTGCTCAGGTGGTGGTCCATCTTCTTCTTTCTTCTGTGTTGCATCTGGGGCTTGTTCTGGTGTTAGAATGGGAGACCGTGTTGGTTCAATATTAGGCGTGCAAATAATGGTGGCATTCCTCTTGGTTCTTCTGATAGCTTTGACGATATATTCTGGGTCTGCCCACCCAATGACTGTGATTTTTTGTTGAGGGAGGTCGAAGTATATATCATTTATTCCTGCAGAGAAAATGAGATTTTTCAAACAGGTAACAGACAGATTCATGGAAGAGTAATCATATTATGCTTACCATTAATGTTGTTAAGAGTTTTCTTTATCCTCTGCACACAGCCATTACAGTCCATCCGGACCTGTATCTCTGTGACTCGAGGTCTCTGCATGTCATTGAGTAATTGTCAGAGCGGAAGCTTCAAAATAATGAAGTATCATCAATTCATGGGTGGTGTTGAAATGAAATATGCATGGATTTTGGGTGACATACCTGCAGCTCAGGAGCCATGAGGAAAAGGTGTGAAATTAGAGAGACCAAGAGGTATTAACTTGCTTGAAGGCAGAGGATAATGATTATAGAATCTGTTTACTTGACATCTATATGTAAAATGTTAGGGAATATTTAAAAGCCAAAAGATGGAGGACATGCAAGGAATCTCCTTTTTTGGGTGGAGCGAGAATTGGCATTGCTTCGTTAGGGTATGGAAGTGATTTAAGCCTAGGTTATATCTTGTAAGCTGACAATTTTCTTGTCTTTTATAACGTTAATGTTAATGACTTAATGTACATGCCAAGTAAAAAAAAAAAAAAAACTTGTTTAAAGAAAAAGGTCTAATTAATTGTAAACTTGAGAGCTGAAACTTCCAAAAGATGCTCGCCTTTTGAGTTTGGAAAACAACGGCTTCATATATCTCATAAAGGTAGAAATTAAATTTTCTAGCTTTATGTGGTTTACGGTTAAAGCAACTTCAGTGGATGAAGCGAGGAATGATTTGTTGATGAAAAAAGTTTCAGCTTTAAACTACTAATATTTATGATCTTATGGGATTGATATTATCAAGAAGACAAACTGAACCTTCTCAAGTTTCATAAGATGTTTGAATTTATTGGTAAATTATTCTAAGTTACTTTGTGAAGGGTGCCAAATTCCATTATGCTTCTTACGTGCCATGGTTCCAAGTCCAACAACGTGTTACAAGATTTATGTTCAAAGCCACTCTTGTACTTTTTCATGTTGACCAGGAAACTAGTCATGAAAAGCATACTCTTTTTATTTAAAAATGTAAGACATTTTTAATTGAATCTCACCTTTTAATAAATTCTTACCTACTTTCAAACTAATCATATCTTTTTATATTTATCCCTATTAGATATTTTATAATAAATATAAAGTCAATATCAATAGGGACACTTTTGAAAAAACGATAATGATTATACTTCAAGAGGTTAAAAATGCTTTACAAAAATTTTTAAACATTTAACTTTTTAAAAAATATCTTACATTCTTAAATGGAAGGAGTATCTCATACTATAGAGAATCCGTGATGCATTCCAAAGTAAAAAAGTTTACAAAAAAAAAATTATTTTCTAAAATATAAGGGTAGTACTTACAATATGAATTCTCTACAACAAAAGAAATTCATCTTAGCATGAATATAGATGAGTGTCATTAGCATCTCTATTGATCATATTCATTATATATATATATATACATATCATAGTATTAATTTTAAGTTTAGGGTCATTAGCATTAATTCCTTTATTTATTAATACTTTATAGATAAATTTTGTAAAGTATCCTGTATTGAGAATCGTGAAAAAATTTTATGTATAAAAAATTTCACAAATAAGACTAAAGTAAAGGGAGTATTTGGTATATTGATCATGAAATATCTTTGAAGAAATGGTTAACCACCAATAAAAATTTATTAACCTAAATCCACAGCAACCATAACCATAAATGTTAATAAATCTGTCACGAGAATGGTTGGTTTAAAAAGAAAATGGAAGGCAAATAAGAAAAGAAACGAAAAATTTAATTATAATATTTAAACATTTTAAATTTTTGGGTAAAGAAACAACAAATGTATAATATTTATTACAAATTATATATATTGATGATGGCAACAATTATTGTGCAATCATTACAAATCTCTAGCTCATATCATATGACTTTATTTGCACACTATATTTAAGAATATTGAATGGGTTTGAGTTTATTTAACTTGTACTCCTTCAAAACGAAGATATATATGAGAACCAGGAGAATTAAGTGAATGAATTCAAGCACAGGCTTGTGGGTTGTCATGGAGGTAGGATTCCACAACTCTGTAGATTCCAATAGTGCTTTCTCTTCCTTCTCTAACGTCTTCGTCTCTGACCTCATGGTCTCCCACTGTGTTGTACTTGGTCGTCATCTTACAGAGACAACCACCTTCATTGCTTCCTTCAAACTTCACCTCATAACCTATTGACTCAAGCTTCTCCCCCAACGGACCCCCTTCTGTCATCGTGTATTTGCATACGAAAGCTTCCTTATCAAGCTCATCGATCCTGTGCTTCAGATATTTGAAAGGCCCTTCTGCAAACAAAACAGAACCAGTTAATTACTTTAATTTCTACTCTTAGTCATATATATATATATGGAGAGAGAGATAGAGATTAATCAGCTGCTTCGTTTTATTGCAGACAAACCTGGAGCAAAGTTAACTTGTTAGATGGTTCCAGGTCCTCCGTCGCCTTGAAGTACAGTGACGTCTTTGACGAACTGAGGCAAGAGCTTTGGGAGCAGAGTGCTGGAATCTACGATCAATGCTTTGAACATTCGCGATGCTGCGATTGGGCTTGAATACTCCTGTGTGAACACCGTCACTCCCATTCTGATTGATTTTCTATTATCTTGTATGTCGTTTCAATCTTTCTGCAGATACGCAGCTCTCGCTTCCGTGTTCTTATAGGTGCAGAGATGTCTCAGAGGTGGGTTTCGTGGAAATGATGGTTTCAGGGAAAATCTTGGAAATACGACTTATTGTTAGGTATTAGTAAACAAGGAGTTTTGTTCAAATTAAAGACTTCAGAATTTGATTTGAATATATTAAAAATGACGTGGATGGTTTCACATTTGAAGGTGTTAAGGTTATGAAAAAATGTACACATGGGCTGCGTATAGGCCAAGACGACAAGACGAGTCAGGCGCACTCAACCTTACCAACCCGGCCCTCTGCAGTCCGAGAAAGCCGCAAATAATTGCAGGTATCCTGATTCATATTCAAACCGGAATGGTCTCTTGGATCTTTTCAATGTGTGATTGACTCCCAACATAATTAAGCATGTTCATTTTTCTTAAAAACAAAAACAAATCATCCCATATGTGCATGTTCAGAGACATAAGGAAAAATAAGAAAGTCCCACGCAAGATTTAGTTGAAAAGTATATGAATGAAAGAATAGAAAGCAAATTCAAGTGGATTCATAATGAAATTTTTAATCTCTTAAGTTTGATTTAATTATTAATTTGTTATTCAGATTTAATTCTTATCAATTTGATCCTTTAAATTTGTTTTAATTATCAATTTAGTACTTATTATTTGAAGAGAATATAATATCATAAAAATCCATTATTGACATGGAACAAAACATTTAGTTGACAATTATATAGATTAATGAAAAGAGATGTAATTATGTTGACAGAAGAAAAATAACATACTTAGAGAATTTAAAAAAACAACAGAACAATACGCAGTGTATATATAAGAGGTTTGATTGATTAAAATTAAATTAATTTGAGAGTCAATATACTTTACATATCAATTTAATTTAAGGGTCAATTTGTGGTTCAAAGGCATTTTTAACCTTAAACTAAGTATAACATTTTTAACCCTAAACTATGTATAATCTAGGACCCTAAACTCATTTACATTTTTAACCCTGAACTATGTATAATCTAGGACCCTAAACTCATTTTTATTACAATGTTTCTTTTTAACTTTTAAAACGGCACAATGCCACTTATAATGTTGATAAAAATTAATTTTTATCATTAGTTGATGAGAAAATTATAAAAAAAACTTTAAAAAATTACAGGAAATGAAAAATTGGTGACTCTATAGTTTTATGTATTTTGAGAAGTTTTATTGGTTAATTAAAAAGTCATATATTAATTTTTGATTAATTTTTTTGTCTTAGGTATTTATTTCAATATTAGTTAGCTTGTCTTATAAATATTATATTTTAATTTCTTTTAGAGTAATTTTTATTGTTAATTTGAGTGACTTTAAATTTAGAAATCTTTGCAAAAGCTTGAAAGATGTGGAGAAAGAAAAATATGATTTTAAAGAGAAAAAAATGGAATTTAGTGTTACCACTATAATATGTTAGTGTTATAAAGCAAATTCTAAACAAAAACACTATAGCAGGTGTTATAACAGATTTCATGCTAGAATTCACAACTTCAATTTTTCAATTAGATTAAAGAGGGGAACTAATATTTTTCAAACTAGACTTCATTTTGGGAAGTCTCTGAAGTTCTTGAAACTATTTTGGAGATTTGGGGATTTGGAGCTTAGGGCGATGATAACTCATCATCATCCATGTTTTATTGAATTTTTCATTACTCTTCCCCTTCTTTCTCCTATACGTCTGAATTTGAACTATTATTTTGTGCTTTTGATGTTTTATTTAGTTATATGTGGCTGAATTTTGATACTTTAGAGTCTTATAAACTCATTTATTTTAGTTGTATCTTGATTTACCGATTATTTTATGGTTGATGGTTGCTTTATGTTTTAATTCCAATTTAGCTTTGTTGTTTGATGATTGGCCACCAATATGTGATAATTTGGAGGAATATAATGAACTTAAAAAGGAATTTACATTTAAATTATTGGAATTGAATGTTTAAGATTAATTATAGTTAATTTACTTTTGGAATAAGAATATACCTAAAGGACCTAAGTAGTTAGAAGGAATTTGAACTTAATGTTCTTAATCTAATTTTGGCAAAGAATTGTTGAGTTAGAATTAATCAGGATTTTAAGTAATTGAGAGATATTCAAAATTAATTCTAATATCCCAACCCTTAAAACTAAAATTAAAATTAATTTATTTGATAAGTTGAGTGCAATGGAGCATGTTAGAACTCTATAGTGCTTTTCTAATAATTTTCTTGACTTTAGATTGCTTCAAAATTTTAGTTGCCTACTTTACATTATTAATTTTAAATTGAATCATTTATCACTATAATTTAGTTGCTTAATTTGAATGAAATTGAAAAATAATTTTTTTAAAAAAATAGAAATATACCTATTCTATTTTGTTCTTAATATATTTTTCATTTTTTAATATTTTTTCATATACCAAACATTGACTGAATAAATAGAAGCAGCATGTTTACATAGAAAGTAAATTAAGCATTATTTTCCAGTGGATGGATGAAGATCGACATACTAATAACTAGAGCTGACAATACACGATCTATATTGGATGCAAAGGGCATTTAAAATTCATTGATGCTACTCATGACTTTTTAGTAGATTAAATTAGCTTACGTAATAAGGATCTTGTAACATGCATCTATATGGGATGGTATTCAAATTTAAGTTCTGTTGATACTCAAGAAAACAAGATATTTAATTACTAGTTAATAGTTAATAGTTAATACTCTCTCCATCCCAAATTATAAGACATTTTTGAATAAGTTTTTTTATCTCGAAATATAAGACACTTTAGATAGATTAATATTTCATTAAATGTACAAATTTTAATATTATCCTTTCTCTCTCTGTAATTAATTTACGTCCTTTCTCTTTTCAATGTATTAAATGATTTTGATATTTTTTAAAATTTATATTTTTGTTTTAAAAATATAAAGTTGTTTAGTGTATTTAATAAAATTTATTTATATATGAGATTTTATTTAAAAATATTTTATAATTTGAGATGGAGGAATTAGTTAATTAATGATTAATTAGTATCATTAGTTTAGGCACATGCCGGCGTTCTTAAGTTATAGCCATGACATTTTTTAATGGAAAAATTAACTTTTTTGCAAAACTGACATATGGACCACATTAAATATGGACTCGTTTCTCTCCCCCACCCTCTTCTCACTAATATTAAATTTGAATAATTTAAATTAAATTTTTAATTTTATTTTATATTTATTAAAATAAAAAATTGTAAATTTCTTTATTAAATCTGATAGGCAATTTGGACAATCCATATTTTAATATGGATAGTCCAAATTTATTATTAATTTTTTTAGAATTTTAATATTAAATTTATACTATCTAGAGTATATCTGAAGTTCAATTTATAAAAACTAAAAAATTTATTAAATTTAATCATCAATTTAGACAATCCAATTATAGTATAGGTGATCCAAATTTAATATTAAATTTTTTAAAAATTAATATTAAATTTAGATCACACATATTAAATTTATACTACCTAAATTAATAATAAAATATATATATTAATTTTTTTTCATAATTTTTTAATAAATAAATATTTTAAATTTAAACTGTTTAAATTAAATTTAAATAGCCTTTATCCACTATCTCTTGTGAGAGAGACAATGGAGGAACTCCATTGAAAATAGGAGGCGATATAGTATTTTTGGGAGAATTTCATTATGATCCATGGCTGTAACATTATTTCACATGAGGCCTCATCAAATTTGAAATTTCACTAAAGGATAGGAGGATTAAGTGAAATAAATGTTTTTGATTAAATGATCAAAGGGTCCTTAATAAAAATGAAAAAAAAAAGAGAATTTGAATAATTGATATGACTTGTTAAATGTGTAACATAATTTGTTAAATCCATTACATTACTTGTGAATTTATTAGGCCTCAATTAAATGTGTAACTTGTTAAACTATTATCTTAACTTATTAAAAAGGTTATATTACTTGTTAATTTTCTTGCATTACGTTACTTTGTTAATTTTCTTGCATTACCTTACTTGATAAGTCCAATGTTACGTTGCTTGTTAATTATTTAACTTGTGTAACACCCTCAAAACTTACAGACCGATTTTTCGCAAATTATTAAAACCATTATCATGGTAGAAAATTTTCTTACCATGATACATCCAAGACAATATACCACAGGTCTTAAAATATCTCAAAAAGAAATTAGAACCATGAGGGACAGTCAGGATCCTCATAGCATGTTATTCAAATCAGATCATGAATCAAAAGGGACAGACATAATCCTCTTGGACATATAAATGCATTTAATAAACAGGATTAGAGTTTACATGCTCCACAAACAAGATATGTCCTAAGTTGGCACAAGATACATTGTATAATCCAAAATAAGAGGCAACGTAAAAGATGGTGTCTCATACACCATAGTTACACCTCTGGTGCTTTCTCGGCCGGACTCGCTCCTGTAAAAATGTTAACCACGGGGAATGAGACTTAAAAGTCCCAGTAACCAAAAATTAATATGTAATGATGAATGCGGATGTAACTAATCATGCGATTGCTAAGTGGGCACACAAAATATTTAACCGAACAATACTTTCAAATAAACCGAATAAGTATTTAATTTGCATGACTGCACCTTATATCCTCCTTTCACCATGCTCGGACGCCAAATCACCCGGCCAAAGGTGAGTTGGACCAAGCGACACGCCACTCATTGGGTCCAATGAGGGCTTACCACGTGGTAATATTAACCGAACAGAAATTCCCATTATCACCATACATTAAATACCCTGACAAGTCATGCATCATTCAAATATCCAAACAGAAATATATCCGAACAATAATATCTCATCATGATAAACAAAAATAAATTTTTAACCCACTTGACAATAATTTCAAACAAGTATATATATACAGTATTTATTTTTATTAATTCATAATTTTTCAAACAATAAAACAACACATAACCATTCACAAAACACACCCATCACAACACATTAATAATGATTACCTTGTGTCTTGAATAACAAGTTCCCCTTCACAACTCCTCTTTCACCACTATCTTTGTCAACACAATCTACATAGTTATTTCATAATACTATGTATTAATTTACATTAAAATACATAACTCTAATTTAAAGAGTTAGAAAGTCTTAGATCTATAATCCATATTAACACTAATTTAAGATTTATGTCTCATTTAACTTCCCAAATTCTTTTCTAAAATTCTCGTACCCTAATAAACTATTTTTAAGCCTCAAATTACTTCTAGTATCACAATTCATCCTTCTATATTCTAAAAATTCGCCCAAAAATAAATTAAAAACTTTAGAATTATCCTGAAGCCTCAAATCACCTTTCTATAACCTCAAAAATACCTATTCATATTTAAATAAATATTTAATAATTAGAGGTTCATCCCTACATCTCAGATTCCACATAAATTCGACCATATAGATCTAGATTTAACTCAAAAATTCTTAAACATGAGTTTCAACCTCAAGAAAATATTCTATAATATTTATTATATCTCTAAGAGTTTTAACCTATATTTTAATACATCATATCATCAGATTAACTATCCTATAGAAAAATTCTAATCAGAATATTTACTCTATCCTACAAAATAATTATATCACTAGAAAGCTAATATTATTTAGAAAATAACTATAAATTAATTTTGTAATTAAATAAATTTTTAAATGCTAATCTAAACAAGAAAGTTAGAACATACCTGAAGAAAAAAAAAATAATCCCCCCTTGCGAGAAAACGCTGAGCAACGTGAGAGAAAGAGAGAAAAATAATATAAAAATGGGATTGTGGTCCCAAAATTATATTAAAAAAAACTATAGGTTTGAATTTAATTATTCAAACCTTTGGGCCAAAAATTGCAATTTTCTCTAAATTGCATCTTAGCCTCTCATGCTTCCTAATGCACACACCCCCTCTTTTTTATACATGAAGGCACCTCTTCTCTTCCCTCATCTAATCAATGTGGGACTTAGAAAAAACAACCTTCCACCCTCTTTTTTTTGTTCCTTCTACCTTCTCTTTTTTTTTTAACACATACATAAAAAAAATATTTATGTATTATATCTTAACTAATATATTGCTTATGTGGTTTTAAATTTAAATTTTTAAATTCATAATTAAATACCTAACCATAATATTATTTCTAAATAACCTCAAATAATATAAATTCCTATTATTATCATTTTTTTCTCAAAACCTAAATTCCACAATTTCTTTATTATATAAAAAATCAGGATGTTACAACTTGTATTAAATATATATAATGGATTTATTAAGTGACATAAGAAAATTAAAAATAACGTAACCAATGTTTTTAACAAGTTATGTAATTAATTAGGACCTGATAAATTTACAAGCAATATATGTAAGGGATTTCACAAGTCATGTTATATTTAATAAGTCATGTTAAGTAATGATTAACATTCTCTTTTTCATTTCTATTAAGGACACTTAATTCATTATTTAATCAAGAAAATTTATTTCATTTGGTCTTATACCCTACGTAGAAATTTCATATATATTTGATTGAGCCTCATGTGTAATAATATCATATTCATGATCCTATAATAAATTCGCCCTAGTTTTTTCTTTTGAAATTTCATTGCAATAGTAGACAAGCGAATTGTTTGTCAATTTTTTTTTGTTTTCCTTCCTCCTTTTGTTAATGAGAAGATAGAGCTTTGGTCAAAAAAATATATCAGAAGATAGACCATGGATTAGTCAAGGAATACGGTTTGGATTGATAAATTAAATAACTTGATGCTAGCCTCTGACCTATTTTCCCACGTCTGATTTCCAAAGTTGGCTTCTATATTACAAATTCTTGACGATTGGATATATCTACTCCAATGGAAGTAATTAAAATAATAAAAGAAAAGCATAAAAATATAAGAATTGATATTGATGCCAAACTTGTAAAAGTGAAAATGACAAATTAACTCTTTAAAATAGATAAATGATAAATAGTAATACAAATAAGATAAATACTTTGAAGTCCTTAGAGATTGATCTGGCATAATTTTTTTTCAATTACTTTTCTGACCCTTTCAAAATAATGGAAAATATTGTGGTTGTTAAAATATAAATTAAAGTTATTAATAACAAAGACAAATTTATTAATATGAGAAGCATAGTTGTTATTTTATGACTATTAGCTGAATTAGTGACAAGATGTATTGTCAATACCTATGCTTAGGGTACTAATCAATAAGCTGGAACTGTTAATATAAGAACCATACGTGTTAATGCATAACTAGACTAACAAATATGCTTCTTTATATTAATAACAAATTTATAATTTTTTATATAACTACTTACAATTCAATTTTTAACACCATGCACTTTAATATTTTGTTGAGGGTTAGAAATGTAATTTCACACAAAAATTATGTCAAAGAAGTCATTAAGACTTTAAAATAATTATCTCATTTCGTGGTAATGTTTTTTTTAGTTTCTCAAGAACAGGCCGTTAGCAATGAAACGTAACTAATCTTTCATAAAAATCAAAACACCATTTAGGAATTGTTCTCATCATTTGCCTACTTTGGAGTGATTCATTTGTCATTTGTCATTGTTTCTTGTTAAAATGTTCAACTATTCTGCCTTTTTTTTTGTCGCTGGGGCCAATGACAATACTCATTTAATGTTTTCTCCAACTTAGGAAAAGTATAATTATTGGCCTCTACGGCTCTACCCCTCAACTGTAATTATTTGCTGACCCTAGTATGTGAAAATATAAGAATTTGAATTTGATGACTAACTTAACACAGACATTGAATGTTTTACCATCTATAATATTGAAATTCAGATCAATGATTCAGATATATTCATTCATTTATTAATTTTAAGTGAAGTATAAATTTATAATTATTAATATAAATTTTAAACGATTTAAATGATATAAGTATTCAATACCTGTATTAAATACAGTCATCGAATCTAAATCCAAAATATGGTGCATAATATTATTATACTAGTCAAAACATGAAGTTCCCATTTATTTTACTGATTTTATTTTCTCCCGTATAAGTTTTAAAATTTGACCCTCGCAGATAAAAGGATTACCAATAATGTTCTACACTAATCTATCCTAATGAACTTAACAATAGATTAATAAAAATGTTATTTATAGCTTATAAAAACAGGGGGGAAATATGGTACGAGAGCCAAGAGGGGATAGCTAATAATGTTAAAAGAGAGGAGTAAGCAAAATTAACAAAATGACATCACATTGATCTTAACCCAAAATGTTAAAACTTAAATCTATGAATCATTCTCTTTTGTTATATATTACTTATTAAATTTAATTTTGTTTAACGTTAAACATTTCATATTAGTTCAAATAATCCATTCATATTTGGACTATCTAAGAGATAAGAGGTGGTGTTTTAAAAAATACAAATAAAACTCCCCATGATATATATGTTTCGCGCATTCTTATTGAAGTGGAATGGCTTTCATCCTTTGGATTATACTTATTACAAAATACAAGCAACAGTACAAAGTATAATGAACACTTGACAACTAAATCACTCACGGCAAAATACAGAGACCAAACACTGACTCACAAATAACCCTCAAACCACCATAATCATAAGGAGAGAGACGATGACCAAACACAAAGAAGGTTGGTTCTCAACGTCATATCAATCCGACCCTCCATCTTATTACAACTTGAATTTGCTCCAAAACCAAATCGAATTCCATAACGCTAAAGAAAATTGTAGAAGGACTCTAGCAGAGATCGGGGTTGGGCCGCAATGTAACCTTCGAGGGATTCGAAGAGATGTCCTCCCTTCTCCTTGCCGTTCTTGAGCATTTCCTCCGGCGGCGACGCGTCACCTTTGGTGTGGTACTTGATCACCACCTTGATGACAGATCCGCCGGCAGCGCCTTCCACCACCTGGGTCTCGAAGGAGATCTTCTCCACCGGCTCCAACAATATGTTGCCCTCCACTATGCTGTAGTTGTACACATAGCTTGGCCTCATCCACCACTTCCCACTTTGTGCAATCCGTACCTGGGATTCCCACCTTCGTCGACGGAGGAAACCTTGACGACGCTTCCAGGGCCGCCGGTTCCTTCAATGAGCTGACGCCGACGCTTTTAATGTCGGGAATGACCTTGGGAAGGATGGCGTGAGTGTGGTTGAAGAGAGCGTTGAAGAGTCTAGCAGCAGGCACGGTGGAGACGTGCTCGGCTTCGAAAGTGAACACAAACCCATGACTATCACAGAGAGGGCTTGCTAGGTTTGAGACGAAGAAGAAGATCAGAGGAAGATGAATAAGGTCCTGGATGTGTGTGGGTTTGTGAGGAGGCACATTGGCATTTATAGCTCATGGTACTCCTTTCGGCAGCCGAGAAGTTGAACACGGATTTGTCTCTGATTTTTCTTTTTCTTTCTTTTTTTTAATGAGGTATGTTATGTCCCCTTTTCTAAATTAATATAACAATGTCTTCATCAAGGAAAATGTACGCTATTGCTTTTTTCATTTGTTTTTGTGGAAAAATCCAACGGATGCTGGAAGACAAGAATTAGTCAAAGAAGGGAGGGCGTGCATGTCTCCACATGCAACGCCCGGTTAGAATTCAATAACAATTCAGTTGATGGGGACCGTTGAGGCTATCACAAACCTGAAAAATAGTTAAATTAATCATTTGTATTTCCTCCTCTTTTGGCTTTAATCTCTTATAATTAAACAAAATAATGATACACGTGATTTTATTTGATGAATTAATATATTTTTTATTAAACAGAGCATAAATGAGATAGTATCTTATCCATGCCAATAATTCTCAAACAAGATCAATAGTATGTTCCTCTATATTTCCTCCACAAGTGTTATCTGTACAGTTGTAAGCAAATTGAGTCAAGACTCTAAGATCTCCGTAATCAATTTATTTTTACAAAGAATTAGTCCTTGGACTTTTCGTAAACTTCAGCGAAAGGGTAAAATTTTGTGTCATCTTCAAGGACTTTCATCAAAACTGAAAATAATTAGAAGGTTTAATTCCTTATAATTGAACGTAACACAACAAACTATGAGAATCTGTGTGGCTGCTGAACTAAAATTACCGAATACCTATTGATTTTTTTGTTGTCCAATAAAAAAGTTGTTATCATTTTACTGATGTGTTGTCCTCAAATGTGTAAAAAATAACAACTGGTCTTTACTCTCTCCCCCCCTGCAAGGCTGCAACATTGACCCCCAACCCCCAGTCTATGAAAAATTGTGCATTATTTGTAGTCAAAACATCAAAGAATGAAGTTGGAATTGCGTTTACCAATCTAATATATCTTTTTCTTCCTTAAGTTGATTCTCGCAAATTAAATAATTAAATTCATTAATTACCAAACAACAAACTATGAGAATCTTATTGTCTGCCTGAACTAAAATTACCGAATTACATATTATATTTTTTTGTTGTCCAATAAAAAAGTTGTTATTCATTTTACTTGATGTTGTCCTCAACATGTGAAAAAATACAACTGGTCTTTACTCTCTACCCCCTGCAAGGCTGCAACATTGACCCCCACCCCCAGTCTATGAAAAATATTGTGCATTAATTGTAGTCAAACATCAAAGAATGAAGTTGGAATTTTCGTTTTACCAATATAATATATCTTTTTCTTCCTTAAGTTGATTCTCGCAAATTAAATAATTAAATTCATTAATTACCAACTGAAAACATTGCCCGCTCTACTTTAGAGAATGAGAAATACTTAAATAAATTGATTACACACACGTTATTTATAATTTATCTAATTAAAATATTCTAAGTAATCTAATTCTTGTATGACATTTTTTTAAATTGATTTTATTTTTATAATAAAATACTCATTTAATTTTTTATCTTTTTTCTTTCAACTATAATTAATATCAGAATTAATTTATATTTAATGATATATAAATGTTATATTTTTATTAACAAACTATAAATGACATAATGTATCCGATCTATTTAAGTATTTCTCTCAAAAAATACCAATTAGGTCTTAGTTAGTAGCCGTTTCTAGAGCTGCTTGATGGCACATTGTAAGCCACCCAGACATTCATTTGAGTTTGTCATTTAATTGAATTAATTAATATATTCTTTCAACCCTCTAATTTTCATTCCATATTTTTGTCATTCTAGCATCCATGATGCATGTGAAGTCACTCTAGAATTTCAAGTGAAACATAAATATGTATGTATAATTTTATATTCTTATTGAAGTGGAACAGCGTTCATTCTTTGAATTTATACTTGTTACAGAATACAAGGGGAAGTTTCAAATATGGTAAACCCATAACAACCCAATCACAAACAGAAAAATACAACTTTAATTTCAACATCCTCAGCAGGAGAGGACGACGATGTTGACCAAAAACACAAACAAGGTGGTTCTCAACGTCATATCAATCCGACCCCCTTATTACAACTTGAATTTGCTCCAAAACCAAATCGAATTCCATAACGCAAAAGAAAATTATAGAAAGACTCTAGCAGAGATCGGGGTTGGCGGCAATGTAACCTTCGAGGGACTTGAAGAGATGTCCTCCCTTCTCTTGCCGTTCTTGAGCATCTCTTCCGGCGGCGACGAGTCGCCTTTGGTGTGGTACTTGATCACAACTTTGATGACAGATCCGCCGGCAGCGCCTTCCACCCACCTGGTCTCGAAGGAGATCTTCTCCACCGGCTCCAACAAAATATTGCCCTCCACTATGCTGTAGTTGTACACATAGCTTGCCTCATCCACCACTTCCACTTTGTGCAATCCGTACCTGGGATTCCCACCTTCGTCGACGGAGGAAACTTTGACGACGCTTCCTGGGCCGCCGGTTCCTTCGATGAGCTCGACGCTTTTAATGTCGGGAATGACCTTGGGAAGGATGACGTGAGAGTGTTTGAAGAGAGCGTTGAAGAGTCTAGCAGCAGGCACGGTGGAGACGTGCTCGTCCTCGAAAGTGAATACACCCATGATTATCAGAAGAAACAGAGAGGGCTATAGCTAGTTTTGAGACGATCGAAGAAGAAGATCAAGGCAGACGATCAGGTTTGAGAGGATGGGTGTGGTTTTGGGAGGAAGGTGACATTGTATTTATAGACTCCACACCCATCTCATGGGAATTGATTTCGGTGCTCATCCTGGTGCTCAGCACCAACGTTTTTTTTTTTTTTTTCCTTTTTTAAACCACAAACTCATTATAATAAATATTATACAAGTATTATTTTAATATTTAATAAATAAATAAATATTAAGATACTAAAATTAAATCAAAGTAGTTCAAATAAAAATTTTAATTTAAACTGTTTAGAATTATACTAAAAAGATTAAAAAAATAATTTGAAGAGTTTAAAATTAAAATTGAGTTTAGCAAAATGAGTTAGTTTCTTACACCGTAATAAATCAATATTTGAATTCTTATTAAAAAAATATCTATATTTAATATCCGATTATGTATTAAATAATATTACTTTTCATAGATAGATAGCTGTACAAAATTAATAAAATAAAAAATAAAATATTTTTTATTTCAAATCTAATTTTTTCAATACAATTTTAAATTGTTTAGACTAAAATTATATATAAACTGTTCAAATCAAATTTTAATAAGTCAAACTATTTAGGTTCAATTTTAACATCTTAATATTTATTTGTTTAAATAAATATTAAAATAATAATTTTATAATATTTATTTATTATTATTATAATAATGAGTTTGTGATTTAAAAAAAGAAAAAAAAAGCTGCCACCACGAAGAGCACCGAAATCGAGTTCCACCTCGTGGTACAAAGTCCGGCGTTCGTCCCTGTTTTTTTTTTTTTTTTTTTTTTCGCCCGCCTACCATTAATGTCGTTAAGGAAATTAAAATAGCTTGTATTTTACATTATTTATTTTATTGAAAAATCCAGAGGATGCATAAAGACTAGAATTGGTCAAGAAAGGCGGATTTAGATATCAACACGATGCCATTCTTCTAGAATTGGCATGCCATGATGTGAAGGTTAATTCAATTTTTCATTTAGTGCAGAAAAGAACATGGGGATAGACCTGTGCAGGCGTATTTGAAAAATATTGCTCACATTTTAGGGGGAAATTTTACACTGTTTTAAAATATAAGTTGGTTGATAAAGGTGACATTAAAATGGTTTGAATTTTTTTTTTTTAACATCTAACCGACAACCGACAAATCAAGTGGCATAATTTTTTTGGTGTACTCGAGTGCCAAATTTTATTTCACTCTTGCTTCATTCCGACACATTTGGGAGGCGTATTATGAATGAAATTTGCTTGAAGTTTAATTTGGACGGAAAGGTAGCTAAAGAGTTACTACTCCCTCCATCCTTTTATATAGATAATATATATATATATAATATGAATATTTTCTAAAAATTATTTTGTTTCTAAATATAAAAGTTGTAATGATATTTTTGAGTAATTAAATAATTTTACTTTTTATCTTAAAAAGGGTAAGATATATTAATTAGATGCTTTACCCACCATCACATATTAATTATTAATGGCAAAATTACATCTGGCCCCCTTAAGAAAATTAATCACAGATAAAGATCACTATGAAACAAATTTTGTTAAATAAAAACATGATTTATTATTTTTTTTGAATGAGACTTGTTATTGATACTTATTTGTGATTAAATTTCTTAAGGGAGGCTAGATGTGATTCTCCTTTAATTAATTGACATTATCAAGGATAAAATTGAAACATTATTGGGATTTAATGTGATTTCAACTAAATATTAAATTTTTATTAATATACGAGATTTAACTAAAAATACTTATATATAGAGACGGAGGGAGTAATTAATTGATTAGGAATTTTAAAAATTTTATATTCCTTTCATCCCGAATTATAAAATACTTTAAATAAAATCTTATATACTAATAAACATCATTAAATATACTTAACAAATTTATTTGTTCAAAACAAAAATATAATTTTTAAAAACACCTTTCATTTAATATATTAAAAAAAGAGGAAGACAAAATTAAATAAAGAGAAAAATGATAATTTTGAAATAAACATATTTTAACAAAATCTTAATTTTCTCAAAATATTTTATATATTTTGGGACGTTAAATTTTTTTAAATATGTCTTATAATTTGAGATTAAGAGAGTACTTATTAAACTCTAGCTACATTTATGTGATGTAATTTTGTGTGAGAAATTATAATATTTCATAAAATATATATTTTCTTTTTAGAGATATTTAATTAAAAGCATTCAGTTACGTTAGTCATTTAACAAAGATATAATTATTATATTACTTAATTAATATATAATATAAAATTATCATTATAAAAATCTATAATCAAAGTCGAAGTCCACACTTTGACCTGAAATCACCAATGAAAGGGCCTGTACCAATTTGTCTACTCCCTTATCCGATTGGGAGACAATTTTTTTAATTTTAAATTTATATAGTTTTGAAATAACAGGGGGTTTGAACTTTGGACTTTATTAAGCAAGGCACGAATTTGTGGGGCCTACAAACGAAGAACGATATAAAAAATATATGTGTAAACAATGAAGTTAAAATTATTTTAAAGAATCTTTTTTTTTTAACCAACTTTAAAGAACCTAATAATACAAAATCATGTTCTCAGATCTCTCTGTGTTTTTATTTGGTGCATGTTCTCACATCTTTTTTTTTTTAAAAAAAAATCGCAATGTAACGCCTGCGGAAAAGCGATGGTATTGAACTAACTTTTTTTCTTGTTGTCCGGGTGCGTTTTTCTTGTTAAAAATAATATTAATATCAATTGAGACATGATTAAATATTAGATATAATAAACTATTTTTAGAAAGGAATCAAATCTTAATTTACCATGTCACAAGAAATTATTCACATTTACTAGACCCAATTTTTATTGGGGGGATTGAAATTGCTATCAACAGGTCACCATCCTTACCCATTAAACTTATTAATAAAACTTATCACTTTTGAGCCCGTTTTTTATTTTAATTTTATTTCAAAAAAGTATAATTTCCTTTGGAAAAATAAGAATTAAGTAAATAAGAACGTAAAAGTTCAAAAACAACAAAAAATAAAAGGTCACCAAGTTGAAGAGAATTTTTTTTTTCTTTTTAAGCCAACAGGCCAAAAAAATTTATACATTCATCTCGTGTTCAATTTTAATTATAATTGTAATGATTTGATAATTTAAAAATTAATATGATAACGTACAATTGTATTTTTTTAAAAAAAAAATCTGATAAATTTTATTGCAACTAGTATTAAAGCGAGTCCAAGATGTCAACTACGCTCCTTTGGCCCAAAAACCAAAAGAAAACAACGCTCCGTTCGATCCTATCAGGTGTGCCGCCCCTCATCTCCACTCTTTGACATCCACGTTAGGGTTTCAGACTGAGCATCTTCTCATGTGGCTATCATTTAACTGGACTCTTATTTTTTTAATTCTATTATTAACTAATTTAAAAATAAAGAACAATACATGTCGCATCAATTATGGATGGAAGGGGATTGTACAAGGTCATATCTTCAAGTTTTCATTCTCTTTAAGTATCACACACAAGTATTATACATTTTCAATAGTCTTTTATATATATATATATATATATATATTGGTTTACTACCTACAGGCAGGGCATCTCCCTCCATATATAAAATAAGGATAAAGATATTTTGTTTTTTTTTCGTAATGATAATATTCTCTTAATTAAATGTTTTGATGACTATTTCAAATTTGAAAAACAAACTTATATAATTAATTTATATACTTAATGTTCTTGTTTTTAAATTTGACCAAAGTAAGTTTTTTAAATCTTAGCTATTTTAACGACAAATTATTTTTATTAATATTGTAACATATTAAAATTCAGTTATCTTAATTTAATTATATAAAAATATTTTAAATATATAAAACTAAGGAACTAAGTGTTTCTCTTTTAATTTTTTTTTTGGGTGAAGTTTCTCTTTTAATTTTGGGAAAATTAATATGCAGGTACCATAATTATGTTATTGATTCTAAAATTATATAATCGTTTAATAAACACATAAAAGTTTTTAAATTTCGTTTTTTTAAAAAATTAAGGATTTAAACAACTGAGGACTAAAACAAAATAAATTACTTTTTTTGTTAAAAAATATAAGGCATTTTTAATTAATCTCACCTTCAATAAAGTAGTTACCTACTTTTAAATTAATCTTATTTTTTATATTTATTTTTATTAAATACCTTATAATAAATATAAAGTCATTCATCAAGAAAGACACTTTTAAAAAAAAGACAATAATTACACCTCAAAAGATTAAAAAATTAATATGATAACGTACAATTGTATTTTTTAAAAAAAATCTGATAAATTTTATTGCAACTAGTATTAAAGCGAGTCCAAGATGTCAACTACGCTCCTTTGGCCCAAAAACAAAAGAAAAAACGCTCCGTTCGAAATCAGTGTGTCATCTCCACTCTTTGACATCCACGTTAGGGTGTTCAGACTGAGCATCTTCTCATGTGGCTATCATTTAACTGGACTCTTATTTTTTTAATTCTATTATTAACTAATTTAAAAATAAAGAACAATACATGTCGCATGGAATTTGGATGGAAGGGATTGTACCAAGGTCATATCTTCAAGTTTTTCATTCTCTTTAAGTATCACACAAGTATCATACATTTCCAATAGTCTGATATATATATATATATATATATATTGGTTCTACCTACAGGCATGGCATCTCCCTCCATATATAAAATAAGGATAAAGATATTTTGTTTTATTTTCGTAATGATAATATCCTCTTAATTAAATGTTTTGATGACTATTTCAAATCTGAAAAACAAACTTATATAATTAGTTTTATATACTTAATGTTCTTGTTTTTAATTTGACCAAAGTAAGTTTTTTAAATCTTAGCTATTTTACGACAAATATTTTTATTAATATTGTTAACATATTAAAATTCAGTTGTCTTAATTTAATTATATAAAAATATTTTAAATATATAAAACTAAGGAACTAAGTGTTTCTCTTTTAATTTTTTTTTGGGTAAGTTTCTCTTTTAATTTTGGGAAAATTAATATGCAGGTACCATAATTATGTTATTGATTCTAAAATTATATAATCGTTTAATAAACACATAAAAGTTTTTAATTTCGTTTTTTTAAAAAATTAAGGATTTAAACAACTGAGGACTAAAACAAAATAAATTACTTTTTTTGTTAAAAAATATAAGGCATTTTTAATTAAATCTCACCTTCAATAAAGTAGTTACCTACTTTTAAATTAATCTTATTTTTTATATTTATTTTTATTAAATACCTTATAATAAATATAAAGTCATTCATCAAGAAAGACACTTTTAAAAAAAAGACAATAATTACACCTCAAAAGATTAAAAATACCTTACATTTTTAACATCCAAGTCCTTACAAAATGCTTTAATGGAGGAAGTAATTTTTATATATTTAATCAATTGAATTATAAGGGTTTGATTAAGACAAAATAAATCATAAGGATCTAATTTAAACTCAAGTAAAAATATGTAGATTAATTTTTGATATATCTTATATGCATGAGAATCACATTGCAACCTCTCTCTGTTTTTGTTTTCTGTTTTTTTTTTAAATAAAAAATCATTATGTAAGCATCAACACAAACTTGACGGAGAAGCATCAACAAAGAGGAGTTCCTAGAATGAACCTTTGAACCGAATAAAAAAAGTTGACGGGAAATTAATTACATTTAGGGACCAATAATTGTTAAAATTACATAAAGGGATCAAGGTTTTTCATAATAAATGTAAATGCTCTTATCCGATAGGCAACCTAACATAATTAGTTGCAAATATAAAAGGCTTGATTATAGATGGAACATGAGACTCGGAGTTGAGTCTGAGTTGCCGAGGCTGAGTGATGAGTTGCTGAGTTTGATGTGAGAGTGAGAATAGAGAAGTGTGGAGATGAGAATTGAGAGGCGCCTGCGCGAGCTGTGATGATTCCGAAATGAAGAACAGAAGAAGCGATTTCCAATTTTGAAATGCCAAATTTATCCCTATTCACCCAACCCATAAAAACCCACTTCCTGATTATTATTCCGAGTCTTTAAAACCACCTAGTTTAAAACAAGTCAATTCTGATCAAATGTCAAAACAAGTTAAATGATTTAACTATATTGTTTTTGTCATCGAATGACAGTTTGACCATCCTGGTATGAAAACATTGCTTTGAACAACAAAAAAAAGGAGTGGCGGGAAATTAATTACATCTAGGGATCACAAATTTTGAAAATTACATAAAGGGATTAAGATTGTTTATAAATAAATCAATGCTCTTATGCGATCCGCAGCCTAACTTACCTTAAATAAATCTATTCCCTCTGCCTCCGTGGCTCCATCTATCTCCTCCAATTCCAAGCACCTTCTGCAACTCACAGTGAATCTATGAGCTCATTGTTAATTTTCTCCTTGATTAGTTTATATGTCCTGGAGCATAGTATCGGTCATATTGATTTGTGCTGAGCTTGAAACATTATTTATTTATTTATTTTTATCAGGGGAAGATATATAATTTTGTTTGTGAAAATTAATAATTTATTTCACACACACATATAAATAAATATTATTTTTTACTCAACTATATTATATCGGGTTCAATCGTCTGTCTAATAAGTTAATTCATAAAAATCATGATCTCCTAACTTGTTCGATTAATATCTTGTCTAGCTTTTAAGACATTGGCTCCAACACAATTTATATCTTAATTAGATTATCATATGTTTTTATATAACTTTTTGATTGAATTAAATTTAGGTATTGCGGAACTTAATTAAAAATACAGGTAATTGCAACCGTTACCGTGAGCCCTACACACAACAATAGAACAAACTTTATAGGCCCAAAACAGAATGGCATCCAGAGAAAGAGAGGCCCAACAACAGGCATCTCAATCTTAATTTAACAAACATATCACAATCACACGGAATGAACTTAGAAAGGCAAAAAAAACTCAGAAATATATATGAAAAACAATTAAGAGATATGATATGAGTCATGAGATGGTGGAGATTGACTTGTTTAAATGGGTCTAGTTGTAGAGGCCAGGATTTGCCAACAGGTAGGCTTCCACAGCCTTAAGCAGGCCCGAAGCCTTGTCTCTGTTAGCCTTGACGTCTGCTTCATCCACTTGAATACTATCGTCACCTTTGGTCACGTACTTGCTCGAACCCTTAATCACACATCCTCCATTATCAGATGCCTCTAACTTGGTCTCGTACGTTATCTTCTCGTACTTGTCCGCTAATGCATCTCCCTCTATCACACTGTAACTGTACACAAAGCTTTCCTTGTCCACAGCCTCCACCTTGTGCGTCACATTCTTGTACGGGCTTCCTGCAATATTTCCAAATACGTACGTACACATTAATAATCTTATCTTGTCTCTCTTCATTAAAATGCCGAAAGCTATGAAGATTTCAACAGACCTGGGCCAAAGGTGATCTTCTTGATAGTACCAGCACCACCATCGCCTTGAAGGATTTCAGAGCTGGCGATGGCCTGAGGCACGACCTTAGGGATGAGATTATCAGCGTCAAGAATAAGTGCCTGGAATAGCTTAGCTGGGGAAATGGCTGAAGTCGTCTCGTGTTCGAAAGTGAAAACACCCATGACTGATATTGATGATGAAGAATAAGGGAATAATTAACTGGATGGAATTAAAGCTTGTACGTGACTGAGCTTGCATATGCAAATACATTAACTGGTATTTATACTGCTCATGTGGTATATCAGAAATCCTAAAATCGTATCAGCTCGTGATTTGTTTAGGCAGCGCATTTTCCACACGCTTGTTATTTAAATCATATATTTTGTCTCATCTCATCAGCGTTGGAACTGTACTAAATTAATGCAATAAAATCAGAATGAGGCTAATTATTATCCTAGTGTTTAAGGAATTATATATGCGCAGTGCAATATTTTACTCAAATATATTTACAAAGTATTTATACAGGTGAAGACGTGAATATTAGAGTGGTTAAATGTGCTGATTGTATCTGATAATTTTAGTTAGTTCATTCACTAGTACAAAATATAAAATTTATGAAGTACTTTTTACATCGGTTGGAAGGCAAACGGTGTAAAAGATAAAGGCGGTAGCATTTTTGTAATTGTATTGAATTATGTGACACTTTTTACACCGGGTGTCCAAGAACCCGGTGTTAAAAGTCTAGTTTTTACACCGGGTGCCCCCACCCGGTGTAAAAAGATAGCACCTGGTGTAAAAGGATTAAAAAGTGATCTTTTTACACCGGGTAGGGGCACCCGGTGTAAAAAGTGTTTTTTAAAATTCGTCCTTCCTTCCTTCCTTCATTCATTAGTTCCCTCTCCTCTTTCTCGCGCCCTCCCTCTCGTCTCCCCTTCGTCTGCCCACTCCCCCTCATCTTCTACCTCGCCAGCCCCCTCCCCCCGGTCCGCCCAGCCCTCCCCCTCGTCCGTCGAGCCCCCCTCCCCCTCGTCTCACCTCCCCCTCCCCTCCCCTCCCCCCGTCCACCCAACCCTCCCCTTGTTCGCCGAGCCCCCCTTGTCTCGCCTCCCCCTCCCCCTCCTCCCTTCGCCACCTACTCCCCCTCCCCCTCAGTCCGCCCAACCCCCTCCCTCTCCCCTTCGTCCCGCCGCCCCCCTCCCCCTGGTCCCGCCGTCCACTCCCCCTCCCCCTCATCCCCTTGCCCACCCCCTCCCTCTTCCCCTCCCTCAGCCGCCCCCCTCCCCCTCTCCTTCCCTCTTGCCCCCTCCACCACTCCTTTTTCCCCCCTCTTAATGTTGAGCTGTTGCTGCAGTTGCCGCCATCCAGGTATGTGTTGAATATAAATTTTTAAATTTTATAATGCTTAAATTTAGTTTTTAATGATATTGATTGTTGCTTGAGAGTGCTGTTAGTGGTTTCATAAGGCCTCAGGTTGTTGCATGTGATCATTTATTTGGTTTAAAATTGTTAATTTTCTTGTGTAAAATTTTCTAAAACTTTTGGGAAGTCCAATTTTTAGGAAAAATTCTGTCAAATTTTTTTTTGAATTCATTCTTTCCTCTAATTTTCTTAAATTTAGTTTTTAATGATATTGATTATTGCTGGGAGTGCTGTTAGTAGCTTCATAAGGCCTCAGGTTGTTGTATGTGATCATTTATTTGGTTAAAATTGTCAATTTTTTCTTGTAATTTTTTTAAAAGTCTTGGGAGATCCAATTTTCAGGGGAGATTCTGTCAAAATTTTTTCAAATCTTAATTTAATTAGGAACTTAGTTTCTTAAAATAATTTGAAGGTAATAACATTAGTTATATTCTTTAGGAGGTGACACATGGATCGTAGTTGGATGAATGCTAAACGAACGAGTGATGAGTATGATAATGGGGTGAAAGAATTTTTTGAATTTGCTAAGAAAAATGCTGTTGATAATAGTGAAAGGTTCTACTGTCCTTGTGTTAATTGTTTGAATGAGAGGAGACTAGGCGTTGCGAAAATAAGAGAGCACTTAGTTTGTGATGGGATTTGCAAAAATTATACAATATGAATTTGGCATGGTGAACAATTGAAAAATTATAGTAACACATCTCAATATGTGGGAGTTGATAATCTTGATGATGAAGTAGAAATGAATGAAGATCGATTAGAGGACATGATCCGTGATGTTGAGGAAGAGGCTTTTAAACGAGCACATGTGTATGATAACTTGTGCACTTACGCAGAGAAGCCTTTATACCTGGAGTGCACTGATTTTAGTTTGTTATCTGGGGTGTTAAAACTAGTTATCTTAAAGGCAAGAGCTGGGTGGAGTGACCAAAGTTTCACATGATTGTTAGAGTTACTTCAAATAATGTTTCCGAAAGGCAATGCACTACCAAATCATTATTATGATGCCAAGAAGATCTTGTGTCCAATGGGTATGAAGTATAAAAAAATACATGCATGTTCTAATGATTGTGTGTTGTACAGAAAAGAGCTTGAAGGGGAGGAGAAGTGTCCGAAATGTGAGGCACCACGGTACAAAGAGAAAGGGGCTCCTACAAAGGTCTTATGGTATCTTCCAATTATACCAAGGTTCAAGCGTTTGTTTGCAAATACTAATAATGCAAAGAACTTGATATGGCATGCAAATGAAAGGATATCTGATGGAAAACTTCGACATCCAGCCGATTCTCCTCAATGGAAGAAAATTGATCAATTGTTTCTTGAATTTGGCAATAAGCCAAGGAACTTGAGGCTTGGACTTTCTACCGATGGAATGAATCCTTATAGTAGTCTTAGTAGTATACATAGTTTATGGCCTGTTCTTTTAGTGATTTACAATCTATCACCTAGGTTGTGCATGAAACAGAAGTACATGATGCTATCCATGTTGATTTCGGGACCAAAACAACCAGGAAATAATATTGATATTTACCTAAGACCTCTGATTGAAGATTTGAAAGTGTTGTGGGAGGTAGGTGTGGAAGTGTTTGATGCAAATCAGAAGGAGAATTTTAAGTTACGTGCTATGATCTTTTATATTATAAATGATTTTCCTGCATATGAAAATTTGTCTGGTTATAGCGTGAAAGGTCATAAAGCTTGTCCAATTTGTAAAGAAAGCACAAACTACCATCAACTTCAACATGGAAGGAAGACAGTCTATTTTGGCCATCGGAGGTTTCTTAGACGAGATCACCCATATCATAGATTGAAGAAAGCTTTTCATGGTCACCAAGAACACAATGATGCTCCAGATGCTTTGACTGGGGATCAAGTGTATGAACGTGTGAAAAATATTAATATTGTCTTCGATAAAACTAAAAAGAATACTGGTGCAAAAAGCATATGGAAAAAAAGGTCTATCTTTTTTGACCTCCCACATTGGCGCAATCTTGAAGTAAGGCATTGTATTGATGTTATGCATGCAGAGAAAAACGTGTGTGATAGTATTATTGGAATGCTTCTGAACATACCAGGTAAAACTAAGGATGATGTGAATGCAAGATTGGATTTGAAAGAAATGGGAATACGGGAAGACTTATACCCAAGACCAAAAGGTAAACGAACTTATTGTCCCCCAACCTCTCATACATTGTGCAAATCTGAGAAAATAAGTTTTTGTGAGTGTTTACATGGAATCAAAGCTCCTTCGAGGTATTCTTCAAATATTATGAAGCTTGTATCTGTGAAAGAGTTGAAATTGGTAGGCTTAAAATCTCATGATTGCCATGTCTTGATGCAACAGCTATTACCTTTGGCCATTCGAGGCATATTGAAAGAAGATTTAAGACTTACAATAACCAGACTTTGTTTTTTTTTTCAATGCTATATGCAGTAAAGTTATTAATCCCCATAAACTGGAAGAGTTAGAACAAGAAGCTTGTACTATCTTGTGCCAACTTGAGATACACTTTCTTCCTACATTTTTTGACATTATGGTTTACTTAATAGTGCATCTAGTAAGGGAGGTAAAATTGTGTGGCTCTATTTATTTACAATGGATGTACCCAGTTGAGAGATACATGAAAATACTGAAAGGGTATGTCAGAAATTCATTTCGACCCGAAGCATTGATAGTTGAGAAATATGTTGCTGAAGAAGTTATAGAGTTTTGTTTTGATTACTTGTCAAGTATAGAATCGATTGGACTTCCTAAATCTCATCATGAGAAAAGGCAATATGGTCAAGGCACACGTGGAGTATCAGTGAAGAGCATGAATCATGATGAATTACAAAAAGTACATTTATATATCTTGAATAATATTGATGAAGTTAAAGATTACATATCTTCTCATAAAGAACTTTTAAAGGCAACAAATTACCGATGAGAATGACAGAACAAAAGTTGTTGAAAGAGCATAAAAAGACTTTTATGAATTAGTTCAAGCAAAAAATTTTGAATGAAAGTGGTGTTTCTGAAACAGTTAAATGGTTGGCGGGAGGTCTTAACTTTAATGTTATATGTTGAAGTGCCTATGATATTAATAGGTATTCCTTTTATACAAAGTCCTTGGATGAGAAGAGTACGGTGTAAAATAGTGGAGTTATGATAATGGCCGAAGCCGTACACTTCTCTAATTCAAAAGATAAGAAACCTAAACTAGCATCCAGGACTTACTTTGGGGTTATTGAAGAGATTTGGAAGGTTGATTATACAAAATTTAGAGTTCCTGTTTTCAAATGCAAGTGGGTTAACGTCAATAGTATTCGTAATGATAAGTTTGGATTTACAATGGTTGATCTTAAAAAACTAATTTTTGGAGATGAGCTATTTATTATGACAGACCAAGCTAAACAAGTTTTCTATGTCATGGATCTAGCAAATAAAAATTGGTCAATAGCACTTAAAGGAAAAGGGATGATTGATAGTAATGACGATTATGAATCAAATTTTGATATTTCTGAAACTCCTAACTTCTCAAGTGGGCTACCAATTTTGGATGTGGTAGATGAAGTAGATGATGAACATGCCATAAGAAGTGATCATCATGAAGGGATTTGGGAGAATATCTTTATATGAGTTTAGTTTTGAAATTAAAGTATATTAATTTAGTTCAATTAAATTTATGTTGTGGGATTGTTTTTCTTAATTATCTTATCTTTGATTATTTTTTTAATTAATTTCATTTATTTGAATTAATAGGAATATGGAGAATCAAGGTGATGACACTCAGAGCCAATCAATTGGTGATGTTGCTCCTAATGAGGAGCTGAGTCAGGGCACCCCTAGTGAGGAGCCGAGTCAGA